GACCGTGGGGGAGATTTCATCCATTGTAACACCACTGTAGAATCGGACCAAAACACTACAGCAGAGAAGTTCATATCCAACGCCGTTGAAGTTCTTCCATAGAGTCGGGAAGCGATGAGTGCTGCACACAACTCTAGTCTAGGAATACTAAGCGGCTTCAATGGTGCGACCTTGGACTTGGATGCCAACAAACTGATCATCACGCTGCCATCTAGTGTTTCGGAGCGTACGTAGATGCACGCACCATATGCAGCTTTCGAAGCATCTGCGAAACAGTGTAGCTCCGCGCGTCGAAACTTGGGAACTAGAGCGAATCGGTCAGTCAGAATGTTGGAAAGCAGCGGTAGCTGATCGGCGAGTCGAATCCACTGTTGTCCGATGTCTGAAGGAACTTCGGTATCCCACCCTAGAGCCAGCAGCCAGAGATGCTGAATGAGGATTTTTGCTTGCACTACGACGGATGATATGATTCCGGGAGGGTCGTACAGTTGAGTAGAATGCTGCGCTTCATAGGTGCTTGATTATCGATTACGATTGACGTATCAAACTTGAAAACGTCTGCCTCAGGTTCCCAACTGATGCCAAGGGTTTTGATGGTCTCATCGGAGCCGAATTTTACAGCAGATTGAGTGCCCAGGAGCTCTGGAGGAAGACCAGCCAAGACCGGTAGGGAGTTCGAACACCACTTTCGCAAACGAAAACCGCCCTTTTGCAACAGCTCCGTCAATTCCGTGCGTAGTTGGATTGCATCCTTGTTTGTGTTCTCGCCACAAATGAAGTCGTCCACGTAGACATTCTTTCGAAGAGCCTTGCTTCCTTTCGGGAATTCGCTGCCATGATCTTCCAGCAACTGCAACAGGGTCCTCGTGGCCAGAAACGAAGATGGTGCGAGTCCATAAGTAACGGTACACAGCTCATAAGCTTAAACGGATCCACTACTGCTGGGTGGCCACAGAATCTTCTGCAACGACCGATCTGCACGATGCATCAGTACCTGCTGGTACATCTTCTTCGCATCCGCCACTACTGCGATCATGACCATCCGGAAACGTAGATGAATGTCCAGAATGTCGTCCTGAACCACTGGCCCAACTAGCAGCGCATTGTTGAGAGAATGCCCGGTGCTAGTTTTTGCTGAGCCATCGAACACAACTCGAACCTTGGTCGTCGTGCTCGATTGCTTTACCACGAGATGGTGCGGAAGATAGCTACTGGTTGAACTATTCTTGTCGTCATCAAGAGCGGGAACCATATGGCCGAGACTGATGTACTCGTCCATGAATGCGTTATACTGAGTCTTCAGTTCTTCATCCTTCTCCAGTCTATTGTCCAACCACTTCAAACGTCGCAGCTTGGGCATTCGAACAACATATCGTCCGGAGAGATCACGGGAAACAGTCTCCTGGTAGAAATCTTCACATTTTTGCTCGTCGACCGAGTAGTTTGAGCCGCTTACATCTTCGATCTGCCAAAATCGCTGCAGCAGCTCATCGACTGGTACAACTGTCGCCGCATGGCAAGTTGCTGTCGGCTGCTGGGAATGCTCGCGGGACTCATCGATGTTTCCAGACGCAATCCACCCAAATACGGTTTCGGCGAACTTGGGAGATGGAACCGGCCATTCCGCAAGAAAGAGTAGAAGTGAGCAGCACCAATAATCATATCTACCCTTCTAGGAGTGCTAAAGTCGGGATCGGCTAGAATTAGATCGTCGGGAAGCTTCAATTCAGCCGCATTGAATGGTACGGATGGAGTGTCACTGGTCACTTTCCGCAACACCAGGAAATCGAGTACTTCACGGAAGTCGGACACGCGTGATCGAACTTCGTACAAATATATACAGTAGTACAAATATTATCGAGCAACTAAAGCAGTATTCTAATCGAAAATCAAAAAAACTCTTTGATTTAGTCGAATCAGATGTCAGACGTTCGAAATTAAACAAATCAGTCCTCATATATCTCGAATTTTGAAATCATAAATCAGCCATAAATACAATTTTCACATCTGTCCCTTCCACCACCATCGTCGTCATTCATATCGCAAGTGATGAGACACTGCAAAGCAACATTTTCCTCCGAAAGACCCCCAGCTTGCAAGTTGATGAGCCCTCAATCAATGCGGTTGTTAGCTGTAATTGACAAAATACAACCCCGGTATCTTTTTGGTACACCGCTCTCAAATTAAAAGATAATCCAAAAGTACTTCTCTCTCCCTGATTTTCTTCACTTTTTTGCTGAAAACACTTCCTGTGATTGCCGCTCTTGAGCTGACGACCCCCCCAACAGATAGAAAACATAACATCCTGTACAAGGGCGGTGTGTTAAAAAATCATCCATCAAAATCGAGCTTATCAAGACTAAGGATCTCGTCGCTCGTCGGATTGCTTTATCTGTTTCGGCACAGGTAGCACTCATCGCGACATAATTCACGGTCATGGGTGCGTCAAGGTCACCGTTTTCCCACAGTAGGCATTGCCATCGCGTTGCCTCGACGAAGTCCGGCGTAGGAGCCATGGAAGCGATTTCTCGCCTGCTTGGATATTCAAACTTGTATCAACGCAACGAACACGGTAGCACACGCCTACTCATTTTCAAACGGTCCCAAATCCCAACACGACGACGACAATGGGCGACCGTCGACTAATCCGATTAGCTGTCACGTGTTTAGGAGTCAATAATTTTCCGCGAGTTCGTTGAAATGACACTACGCTAATTATGCAATTAAGATTAATCGTTGCTGCTGTTGCTGAGGCTCAGAGTCGGTTGGTGTGTGGAATTTCGATCGCTTCGTTTCGGAACGATGACTAAGGCATCAAGTTCTGCGACCGCTGTTCAGTCTAATCGATGCAATTGATTACTTTGCTGGAGCCGGTAGTGGTACCTCTGTAGATCTGTATCGATGATGGGGCCTAGCTTGAGGTGCGCTTTTTCCGGGGTGTGCCCAGTGAACGATGACGACCGCCACCGCCGCCGACGCTGCCGACGCCGGTGCAAATTTCCTTTCACTTGGGCTGGGGCTGATTATGACTGCTATTTGCTATGTATAATGGAAATTGGTTTGCTCGTCAACTTGAACTTGACATTTATGACGGCTGGAGAAGAAATGTTAGGGTTGGGCGTACTTTAGAGAAACATGATTCAATTATCTTGTCCGGGAGATTGCTATCTGAAAGAATTTACAACGTTCTACGGGTAAATTTTATGTCTTGAATGAAAAGCATTTAAGTACCAATTACATGCTCTTATTAGGGCGGTTCATAATATCTATTTTGCCCGACATCGCTCAATCAATTCTTGATCAGTTGGTGGAGCATGTCGGAAATGTATTCCTAATTAATGTATAGCTAATTATCTTGAAGATCAATAAAAAAAATGATCTTCAGCAAAGTTGTAGCTGTTTAAATTTCACATTAGTTATGGAAACCGTTATGGAAAAGGTAAGGACGATGAGAACATAAAGTTCACCTTTCCCATATCAATTCTAATATAAGCTTCATATGGCCAGTGCAGTAAGCAACCGCAACCAAATGAGCTCAATTTTTGGGAGATTGATCAGGAACTGATTTAGAATAAATTAAGTGGGTTGGATAAAATTCGATATTTTGAGCCACCCTAATGCTTATATTTTAGTCTCCATACAGCAGGTTTTTCACTGATTTTTCACATGTGCATCTCCGACCAACTAAAATGCATGCTCCTCCTTCAAGGTAGTATAGAAATGCACACACAATTGAGTTTCTTGGATTATTTTACAGGAGACAGTATTTTTTGCTGGGTGTTTGAATTGCTGAAAATTCGGTATAGGTAAATTCAAATGGCCGTCAGCAAAATTTAATTTCTATCATAAAATGGGATTAATAGAAGGAGAGAACTAACTTAAGTGATCGAAGTAGGTCGCGCTGAAGAAGTGACATGTTTGAATTTTGATCCCGTGTTCTCTTTTGTGATACACATTTTAAAGAATGTGAAGTTTTTTGCGAATTTTTGGTGATGATGATTGGAAACGAGGCACTGAAGGTGATCGTTGGTCAAGTGGGCCAACATCTGAAGGTTCATAGTGACTATGAGCATCCAGTACGTTTCTTCCCGAGACCAACAATGGGAAACGGATTTTCTAATTATCAAGAACAAGGAGATGGTGATTCATTTGGTATAAGAATTGATCTAAGCCTTGGAATCACGAGGATGCCGACTTATTACAGATCATTAGGGTGAGAACCTTCCTTTGTGTTTGATTACATTGTGTTTCATGTACATTCACAGCTTTTGTAAACAATGACTTCTCTCGATGATTTCTCGGAAGTCATAGCTCTCCCTGGCAAATCGACATCACCATTGAGTAGAGGAAGACTTCTCCTACCCGATGGATATGTTGGTTTGTGTAGGCGTGCCTTGAATTCCGAAAAATCAACGAGAGAAGTCATCGTTTACAAAGGCTATTACGACCAAATTCCAGCTCTATCTAGAGTTTAGTGATTCGGTTTTATCAGCCCCCTTTTGGAAAATCTTAATAATACGAAACCTATGCACTTTTTCGGTGGTCTAATTGAACCAAAGTATACCTTAAACATCCATCTTGAAGATGAATGAGAAAAAATTGGAATTACGGTTATGGGAAATTATTGAAAGATTAAAGTCTGATGCTCGGATGGGCTGGAAAAATTGGGTCATTACTTTACTATGGTTGCATCGCTGTTTAACCCATTAACGCCCAAATTATTTCTCATTCACAATAAATACGTGATTATTTCTGGCACATTTTGATTTTGTCTAGAAATTGAATTAACGATATTTAAATTTAAATCTACGGTCGTATTTTTTTTTATACAACACGCTTCACCCAAAGGGTAGGTCACTCCGCACACCAATCTTGGGTCAACATTTTTCTCAGTGTGTCGCAAGTGTGCCGCAGGTGTGTTGATTGTGACGAAGCTGTGATTTATTGTAAAACACGAATATGATGGTATATTTGGCAACCCGGTATTTCTGACAGCTTGAATGTTTTGGTTTGCATTCACAACGGCCCCAAAAATTTCGAATATCGTGTTCGATAAGGATTCCTTCTACCGACGAATAAAACGCCAACTGGAAGGAGCCAGAGTTTTCCCATGCCAACTGAAAGGAACCAGAGTTTTCATTGCAGAAGACGGATTGCATTCTGACGGCGGTCGGCGTAGCCGAGTAAACCATTACAACAAATCCACCTCGCTGCAGTCCTGGCTGCTGGCATACGAGCTGACCGATACGATTACGGTGCTGTGCGAAAAGTCCATCTTTGTCCTGACCAACAAGAAGAAGATCTACTTCTTAAAGCAGATCGATAAGAACGGTGAGGAGGGCATTCCATCGGTTGAGCTGCTCGTTTGGGGTAAGAACGACAAAGACAAGGCCAATTTTGATAAGCTGCTGGAAGCGATCAAGAGATCCAAGAATTGCAAAACGTTGGGCGTCTTCTCCAAGGAGGACTTCTCGGGTGAATTATGTGAATCGTGGCGAGTCTTAGTCAAGGACAAGAGGTTCAACACGGTGGACCTCAGCGTCCCAATCGGGTACATTATGTGTTCTAAGGAGGACTCCGAGGTCAACACTGCTGATGCTGATAAGAAAGTAAAACATGCCAAACTGTCGGAGGGTGTCGAGCAGGCTTTGACGGACAAAAGGTACGTCTCCAATACCAACTATTTGGACATGTGCTACCCGGCGATTATCCAATCGGGTGGCAATTACAGCTTGAAGTTCAGTGCATTCAGCGACAAGAACTATCTGCACTTCGCATCGATCATCTGTGCTCTGGGAGTGCGTTACAAATCCTACTACTCCAATGTCGTCCGAACGTTGCTGGTCAATCCTACGGAAACGATTCACAAGCACTACACCGTTCTGCTCAATCTGGAAGAGGAACTGCTGAAGGTGATGATTCCAGGCAAGAATCTCTCGGAGGTTTTCAACGTCGGAATGGATTATGCCAAGAAGGAGGATCCAAGCTAAGACGTTCGGTTTTGCCATCGGGTTGGAGTTCCGGGAGAATTCTAGTATGTTGTAAGTTAATTAGGTTGAGTGGAAGCAATAACAACTCCCTGCGACTGTGTCGTGAAAAGTAGTTCGGCCTTGTAACGACCCTACTTTTGAGCAGCAACTCACCAGCACTCGGTCAATTGGTCATCTACCAAACAAAACTCACTCGAACTATACCGAACTACTTTTCACGGTACAATCACACGGAATTTTAATTGCTTCCACTTAACTTAATAAACTAACAATATTTTGTTTTTACAAAAATCGAAAACAATTTATATAATCTCGTATAAAATGACACATATCTGAAAATAAAACTGCTCTCTTACTTAATTCTAATTTAAACAGAAATCTTACATAAAATTTACATACGTCGCATCGGTGTCAAGAAAACAATTGTTGCCCTTCACTGCCATCAAAGCATATCCATCGTTGCCCCAGTAGTCGGACCAAGAGTTCTTGATTAGCCAGTAATCTTCTCATTTGAGTTGTCCATATCCAATCACCACTGCATGATCCAATCTATCCCAATTGTTCTTGCATTCTGGTTCGTAGTACACTTCAATTGCGTAGTAACTTTATAGCTGAATAGCTGTACATATATATATAAGTTATAGTGAGTATCAAGAAAGAAGAACATGAGAAAGGGGAATCCAAGGTCTCGTCGGGAGCGAAGTAAGGGCGATGCTCTGATCGTCGAAGCTAAAGACAAAACGTCGTATGCAGCACTACTCCAGAGTTGACGCAACTAGGAGAGAACGTGGTGAAAACCAGGCGCTCCCAGAAAGGCGAGATCGCTCTTTGAGCTGAAGATGGATCCTGCGATCAAGAGCTCAGTCTTCAAGGGGCTCGTCGAAAAGTCTGTTGGCGAAGGGGCGAGCGTAAGAGCTCTATCCCAGGAGACAGTGGACGAGTGCAGGGACCTCGACGAGATCATCAATCGGGATGAGGAAGACGTAAATATGGCGGCATGCAAACGGCGGTGTTACGGCTTTCGACAGTTGCAGCGAACAAGCTATTGGAGACGGGCAAGGTTAAGGTTGGGTGAAAACCACTCCTCGGGTTACCAAGCAACTGGAGCGATGCTTCAAGTGCATGGGTTTTGGTCACCAGGCAATGAAACTGCAATGGCCCTGACAGACTTGATCTATGCAGGAAATGCGGAGAGAAGGGTCACATTGCAAAAGGCTGCACGAAGCAACCGAGGTGCATGCTCTGCAAAAAAAAAGGACGGAAACGATCATACGACGGGAAACTTCAAATGCCTATCATACAAAAAGGCGATGTCAGGCCAACAGTAATGGAGGTAACCCTAATAAACCTCAATCATTGCAACGCTGCTCAGCAACTGTTGTGGCAGTCGACAACAGAAACAAAGTGAGACGTTGCAATTATTGCGGAGCCGTATCGAGTCCCTCCCGATAACGGTAACAGGGTGGCGGATAGAGCTGGGATTTCAAGAAGTGATTGCGATCTCATACGAAGGTTTTGTGATTGCCAAAAATTGACGGAATCTTCATATTCAGTTGTTACGCACCCCCTAGATTGACGATGGAGCAGTTCCACGAGATGCTGGATTGACTTACCGAAGAGCTGATCGGATGAAGACCGGTAGTCATCGGAGGAGCCTTCAATGCTTGGGCAGTGGAGTCGCAAAACAGATAATCCAACGCAAGATGGCACAGTCTGCTGGAAGCTCTGATAAAGCTGGAAGTTATGCTGTCCAACGAATGAATTGGAGAGTGTGCGGCCATCAGGCGATCCGATATGGCATCGGCCTACGAAACACGAGAACTTGTGACCGGAAGTGGAAGACGAAGGCTTTCGATAAGGATCTTTTCGTTGAAGCACTCCGTATGGACAGGAGTCCCAAGGATCTGAACGTGGATGAGCTGAGAGGAACGTTAGTGAGAGCATGTGACACGATCATGCCGAGGAAACTGGAGCCAAATAATAGACGGCGTCCAGCTTGCTGGTGGAACGAGACACTTAGCACCCTCCGCGCTAGTTGTCTCAGATCCAAAAGATGTGTTCAGAGAGCAAGACCAGAAGCAGACAGAGAGGAACAAATAGGAGTGTTCCGAGTGGCCAGGGACGCACTTAAACGAGAGATAAAGTAGAGCAAGTCAAACTGTTTTAAGGAGCTTTGTCGAGATGCTGATGTCAACCCCTGGGGCAACACATAACGAGACGTGATGGCGAAGATCAGAGGTCCAACGATGCCCGGTGAAATGTGCCCAGAGAAGCTGAAAGTCATCGTGGAAAGACTTTTCCATCCGAAAGAGAGGGAGATAACGTCGAAGTCACCAACGAGGAGCTCGTAGCAGTGGCGAGAGGATTGAAGGTGAAGAAAGCTCCCGGCCCGGATGGAGTCCTCAACGTGGTGTTGAAAGCGGAGATCCAGACGTCCCCGGACATGATCAGGATGGTGCTGCAGAATTGCCTGGACGAGGGTCACTTCCCTGACAGGTGGAAGATACAGAAGCTAGTGTTGCTGCCGAAACCAACAAAACCGCCGGGGGATTCAGCATTGTAAAGGCCTACATGCCTGCTAGATACACTTGGAAAACTCTTGGAGAGGATCATCTGAGCACGGATTGTTGGAGAGACAGTTCGGATTCCGGAAAGGGAGATCAACGGTGGCTGCAATTCAGACAGTGGTCGCCGAGAAGGCGTCCAAACAGAAGCTGAAAGGAGATCGATATTGTATCGTGATAACGGTCGACGTCAAGAATGCGTTCAACAGCGCCAGCTTGGAGGCCATCGCCGAAGCACTGCATAGAATGAGGGTTCCTGTCAGGGTTACTTTTACTCACTTGCAATAAAGGATTGTTTTATAATGGTAATTAGTGCTGGTAAATTACACGAAGGGGTCGTGAAGTTTGTGTTTGACACATAAAACCTGTCAATATTGACTTCAGTACGTCACAATCATCGATTTTTTTTCGTGAGCGCTCACTCTGAGTGAACGTTCATGAATCCCTCTTCAACTGGGGAGTTTGGTAAAGAGAGATGATCAACCCGATTCCTCAAAGTTGTCCTTGCTCGCTTTCTATTCTCTTTACACAATTTTCACACTGCCGTAACGGAACTATCAACTTTATACTTTTATCTCCTCCCTTCTATCGTATAAAATAACCATTTTAAGTCTGTTATTTGACGCTTAGCATCTTAAACTAGCTTTTATGAGTCAAACACATACTTTACCAATCCTCTTCTTGTTACTTACAAGTACAACATATCGTTATATCATCTAATGATTTCATAATTTCACAGAACAATTTGTGCAAGTTAGTGGAAGCAACCCTGGTCCCTGACTACCTAGCAGGATCCTGAGGAGTTACTTCCAGAACCGGGTTCTAGTCTACGAGACAGACATCGATTAGGACCACAACGCGAGTTCCACAAGCCTACATTCTTGGTCCAACGCTCTGGAACGAGATGTACAACGGTGTGCTAACGCTGAAGCTGCCCAAAAGAGTTAAGATGTTGGCAACCGAGGCGATCGACATTATTGGTAGCGAAGCTGCAGATAGCCCACCACAAAACGGAAGTGCTATTGGTCAGTAACTGTAAAGCGGTACAGCGTGCAGAAATCACCGTCGGTGAGAAGGCTTCGAAGGCCATCAACGTGATAGCTAGAATCATGCCGAACAACGCTGGTCTCAGTAGCAGCAAGAGGCGTCTTCTGGCCAGTGCGTCATCGTAGATACTGAGGTATGGAGGTCCAGCCTGGCTTGCAGCGCTGGAAACGAAACAGAACCAGAGGAAACTGAGCAGCAGAGAAGCCGGAAGAGTACGGAAGGTGGTGGAGCGGAGTCGTTGGCTAAGTAACACATATACTAATACCGATTTTTTCAACATGGGTGAACAGAAAACACGGAGAAGTCCACTTCTACCTAACGCAGTTCTTGTCTGGCTACGGCTGCTTCAGGAAATACCTGCATCGATTTGGACACGCAGCGTCACCCTTCTGTCCGGAGTGTGGCAACGTGGATGGAACGCCGAAGCATGTGGTCTTCGACTGTCCAAGGTTCGAGGTAGTGCGAAGGGAGATGCCCGTTCTTAACGTGGAGAATGTCGTCGATGAAATGTGTCGAGAGGAGGGCACTTGGAATGCTTGGAATGATAGTATGAGAAGTGCATGAGCACAGCACCCCTCCCATCTCTCCAAAGGAAACAGAGTGGTTCTGGGGGGTCCAGGCAGAGGAGAGAGTAAGTAATGAGTGGAAATGCACTAGGCACTTCACTACAGGCCAGGTTGGGATTGAACCCAAGCCTGCTGGGGTGAGAGATAATCACGCTTACCAGTACACCACCGGCGCCGCTAACTCTCGATTTTTTGTCGTTCCAAATATGTTCCCATGCACACACTACTAACACTACATCGTTTTGCTTTTTTTTACACTACTTTCTTCCGTGTCCGTATACTCATGCACCCTTTTCTGCTCTTCTGCACATATTTTCGGATAACTTTTTTTTTTATTTTCGCATATTTTTTCTATATTTCATACACTGAACGAAGACATCCGCAATACTTCGACTGATTATTGTATTGCTCGAGCCCTTTAACACTATGCTGTCGAATTTTGGATTCGTCATCAACTGATGAGCATCCAAATGGCTGTGCTCCAAATAAAGGATGAAATTGGCTGTAGAAACAAACAAACATCATCAATATAATTTTCAATAATTCCCCTTCGCGTCAATATATTGATACGTGTGGGGTTCGATTTAAGGGGCTGAACCAATACCAAATGCATTTCAATAGAGATTGCTGACGTTTAACGCACGTACACTACGTCACGTATACGTATACGCCAAAAGTTTTCATCGCGAAGAACAACTTCATAGCGAAAATTTTCCCTGATGAAAACAAATCACTGACACAAATACACTTTAGCAATCTCTATTTAAGATGACTATCATTCTGCAGAGAGCATTGCGCATTCCAACAGAAGATCCTTTATTTG